AAGCAGGAGATGAAGAGAGGAAGGGCCTGCCTCCCTCGGGTCTCAAGATCGGTGACCAGCTGCCTGGCCTGATCCCGCCGAGACCCAGAGCCTGCCTGCTGTTTGGATAGAAAAACCAGACAGACACTCATTATCCAGGGACATTCATTGGCTCCCACTTTGTCTCCCACTTCTCCTCTAGCGTTAAGGCTGGGGCAGGTGGGCAGAAACTCACTCAGCAGTGCATTGAAAGCATGTCGCATGTCCCTCTGCAGCCTTTGCTAGTCTAGTCATTGCAGTGCTTCAAAGACACCTACTGTGTGTCCAGCACTGTGCTGAGTGCTAATTAGTCCCACTAAAAGGAGGAAAACGGTGGCCAGCGGCTTGCACAAGGTACATAAATTTTTCTAAATTTGTTTTTAATTATCTATTTCATTGCATTGGTGTTTTGCCTGCAAGCATGTCTGTGTGAGGGTGTCAGGTCTCCTGGAACTGGAGTTATAGACAGCTGTGAGCTGTTATGTGGGTGCTGGGAATTGAACCCAGGTCCTCTGGAAGAGCAGTCAGTGCTCTTAACTGCTGAGCCATCTCTCCAGCCCCAAAATCTTCTAAATTTGTTGCTAACATTTAAGTAAGTGAGGGAATTAAATGCAGAAATCAAGATTCCCAGCCTCTCCTTTTTGGAGGAAAGAGGTTTTGTTTGGAATGGGGGCAGGAAGCTTTCATTTTGGTTTGGGGGAGGGAAAAGTTCTCAAGTAGCCAAGACTGGCTTTCGACTTCCGTGAGCTTCAGACTCTCCTGCTCTTGCTTTGGTTTTCCTTTAAATATTTGGGAATGTGTGTGTGTACACGTGTGTGTGTACACGTATGTGTGCGCACGTGCACCAATTGTGTGCCAGGTGCCTGAGGAGGCTGGAAGGGGGAGTCAGATCCCCTGGAACTGGAGTTACAGACAGTTGAGCTGACATGCGGGTGCTGAAAACTGAACCTATGTACTCTGCAAAAATGTTCTTAACCACTGAGGCAGCTATCCAGCCCTTGCTCTTGGTTTCTGAAGACTGGACCTCATGTAGCCAGGCATAGGTAGCCAAGGATGGCCTTGAACACCTGATCCTCCAGTCTCTACCTCCTGAGTGCTGGGATTCCAGGTGTGTGCCACCACCCCTGGAACCAGCCTTTCCTTTCAGTCTGTCACAGCTGACACTAGGCCAGGATACTTACAGCTCTGATCACACTTAGCTGGAGAAAGGAACACGATGAAAAGCTGCTGGGGCCTCCCTGGGCAGTTCAGCCTATGGTCCCTCTTAATGTGCCTTGAAGGCTGGGACTTTCCCTTCAAACCACTTCTCTTAATCAGCAGTGTTCTTAACAGAAGTTGCTCCTAATACTGATTTTATTTATTTATTTGTTTATTTTCAAGTCAGGGTTTCTCTGTAGCTTTGGAGCCTGTCCTGGAACTAGGTCTTGTAGACCAGGCTGGCCTTGAACTCACAGAGATCTGCCTGCCTCTGCCTCCTGGAGTACTGGGACTAAAGGCCTTCACCATCACTGCCAGACTGGTTTTACTATTAGTTGGTAGTTAATCACATGAGTCTGGTCCACCGTTTTCTATTTCTCCTTCACTGGACAAGACCAGGTTCCTGGATGATAATACAGATGCTGGAGAGAGCCTTCTAGGCAGTCCCCAAGAAAGAGCCTGCCATTCATAGCCTCTCAGAAAGAAATATTCCCTTTTCAGACCTGTGGTGACGGGGTCAATTGGGACAAAGTGCTAAAGTATATTTTTTTCTTAGTTTTTCGAGACACGGTTTCTCTATGAAGCCCTGGCTCTCCTGGAACTCACTCTGTAGACCTAGGCTGGCCACGAACTCAGAGATCCGCATGCCTTTGCAAGTGTTTTTTTTTTTTTAAGATCAAATGTTTGGTTTTATTCCTCTATGCTACCTACATCAAATCCCTTTTTCCTCAAAAATCCTTTATACAGCATGCACTTGATACATAAAGGCCTGACCAAAACAGACAAGGCATGCTGCGTCCGGGTGCTGTACACTTCACCTCTGTTATCTCACTTGCTCTAGGATGACCACTATTCCATTTCACAGTCCAGGAAACTGAGGCTCAAAGAGTGTAAATGACTGGTACAAGGAGCCAGTGCAAGGCTAAAGTGGGTGCCTAGGACGCTAATGGTAGAGTCTAAAAAATACACGCCTACTTCCTCGAGAGAAAGACGAATACTAACATAGTGTAGGTTACAGTCGCTTTAGCAAACACTCCGCAAGAAGTGCTTAGGGTTTTTCTATTTATTCTTCTGGACTCCAGAAGTCCAGATAGGGGTGCCACGCCATGGTTTCCCATGATTGCGCAGGATGCAAGGCGGGGAGAGGAGGGGAGGAGTTCGGGGACCGCGCCGTCAGCGAATATCTTCACAGCCTTCGAGCCCCCACCTGCGCCGCGGGAAAAGCTGGGAACGCAAGGAGGCGGGGCGCACCTGGATATCCTCGATCATGTCCCGCGTGAAGAGCTCTCGACTAAGCAGAGCATCCCAGAGCTCGGCGACCTGCAGCTCGCCAACCAGGCGCACCCGACATCGCCGCAGGAGCTGGCGGTCCGCTTCGTCCATGGCGGGCTGCTTGCGGGACCCCGGGTTCCGTCCGCTTCCGGCCCTCGGGTTCCGCCCCGGCACCCACGCCCCGCCCCCATACCACCCTAGCAAGGGATCCCGCCCCGAGGAGGCCCTGCGAGCCTGCAGTCAACTCGGCCTCAACACTCCGCCCTGCCCCAAAGCCGATCCCGCGCACACTCGGCTCCGCCTCCCTAGCCACCTCACAGCACCCCATCCACCCTCTCAGCCCCACCTCCACAGGCTGCCCCATTTCCCCCCTCCCTCCTACGAGCTCTCGACCCCGCCCCGCCCCTGGAGCCCCGCCCCGACACCTTCGCCACGCCCCCTTAACCCCGCCCCGACACTTACCTCACATCTTAAGACCCGCCCCATACAATATTGCTCCTACCCTAAGACTCGCCCCTACGTCGACGTCCCTACTAACCTATACCTGCACCCGAGCCCTACGTGCTCCTTCGCCCCGCCCCTAGGCCCGCCCTCCCGCCCCTTGGATCCGCCCCCATTCCGCGCTCAGTTCCTCCCCTGGTTCCGCACTCAGGCCCCACCCCCCATCTTTTTCTCCTTGAGGCGCTAGGGTCGTGTACAGTTTTGCCCTCAGCTCCGGTTCCTGCTCCCCGGCCCCGCCTCTATCAGACACCAACGTAACATTGCTCCGCCCCCTTTGTCCACCCCCACGTGACTTTTCATCCCGCCTCCCTCCCACCCACCCCCCTCCGCGTTCCTGCCACGCCCCCAGGACTCCCCTAGGGTTCTAGGTTCTGCGGTTTTGATGCCTTGCGCCTTTCGTCAAAGCAGTTGTGGGATCTTCCCTCTGCCCCCTTGCACGTAGCGATTGCTCTACCAAAATTCACAATGACCCTACGTCTACAGACACTCAAAAAGGTCACCTACTTACTGGCAAGAAGAAAAGAAAGCCATGTGTAGAGGTCTGGCCCACATTATTCATGACCCTTGCTGCTGGTGGCTTTTCTGTAAAGCCCCATCCTTGCGGCTAATAAAACCTCCTTGCCTCCCGGTGTCGCTTTGGACTATCGTGACTCACACAGTGAAGCCCACACAGACTTCCATCTCCCTCTCCCCTCCTTCCCTCCCTACAGCCTCCTTCAGAGAAACAGGAATCTAGTCCTCTTTTCTTCCAGTTTCGTCCCATTCATTTCACGTATCAAAAGTAATTTGAGCATTGTGCTTGCCACTTTATACTCCTTACGTTATTTGTGTTGTTTATCCCTGCCACATTCCCGAAGGGAAAACAACAGCAACAAAAAGCCTAGCATGAATAACTCCATATTGGTCTGTTGGGGGCTAGTGCAGGAGCTCAACCCGAAATAATCAACTTCTTATAGGTCACTTGAGCAGCAAAACCTTGGGCACGAAATGCAAGTAGAACTCTATCATTGAGTTTCACTTATGGACAGGGGGTGTGGAGGTGGAGTAGGTTTTAGCTTTACTTTTTTTTCCACTTATTTTGCAAATATTCAAATATTCATTGGTAGCTTGTGCATGCCAACGTCTGTTCAAACAGTGTTATAGCGCTGAACAAGCCAGGTAAGAGACCCTTCCTATGGAAGCTGACATTCCTGGAAGAGCCAGCGACAGACGATGTGGAATAAATAAACAGGATATAGCTGGCATGGTAGTGCACACCTTTAATCCCAGCACTCAGGAAGCACAAGCTTCTCTGTAAACTGGAGGCCTACCTGGTCCACTTGGCGAGTTCCAGATCAATCAAGGAAACACAATGAGACCCTGTCTCAAAAACAAACAACAAAACTAGCACGCAAGATGAAGTGATAAAAGCAAACAATTACATAAGATCTCAACACGAGGCATGAAATAGAAAATAAATCCCCAAGAGACTTCGGTGGCTGGCTCAAAAAAATTGTCAACCTTATTCACCAGACCCCTTTCCCAGGGCTTGCTTAAGTCCCATTCTAAAACATTATTGCGTTGATAAACAGAATTTGGGCAAGTCTTTGGTCCGCACTGAGTCTCAGTGCATGGAGAGATAGACTAGAAAGCATCCCTAAGGTCGGTTCAAACTCTGACGCTCTAGGATTCTATGAATAGGGTTAAAGTGAACTGGGACCAGCGACTGCGTCCCCGTCCTAGCAACGGTTGCTAGACGTAGGCCACCTTCTGGCCACCAGTGGAAACCCCTCCCCGGTTCCCGGAGGTCTTCTTGGCATCCCGTGATGCATAGCGACTCCGCCTCGCTAGAAGGCACGTTCTGGCCTCGCTGGTCAAGATCGAGCCTTCGGACCCTGCCGGAGAGCGCGCTCCGTTCCTATAGCAACCACGCCACATCCACGTGCCTACAGTGAAGGACAGGGGCCAAAAAACTGGCCTAGTGCGCGGCCTAAACATGGTCTTATGAGCGCATTCGGAGTGCGATGGCTTTAACTGTCACGTGACCGCCCGAGCCTGAGCCCCGCCTCTTTCTCCTCCCAGGTGCTCCGGTGTGGACTGGAAGCGCCGGCCCCGGCGGATTCACTGGAGCACGGATCCTGCGGCCGGTTGGGCCGGTGCCCTTTCCCGGTAACTCCTTCCCGGCGTGACGCGCGGACGCGGCGGAGCCCGACAGGGCTCGGTGATCTCCCGTCAGCTCCTCCGCGTCCTCAGCCCGCGCTGGGCCCTGGGGGACCGGGGAGCCGACAGGAACCGGGGCGGCGCGGGAGGGGGCCGCCTCCCGGAAGGTCGCGACCCGAGCTGGCACCCGAGGCAAGCTTGGTCCTGCGAGGACCACCAGGGAGCCGCCGCCTCCTGCCTTTGGGGGACACCGATGGCTACCTGTTGGCCAGTGCGTCCCCTGCACTGAGGCCAGCCCCCCTGGAGCTGGAGAATGTCAGCCAAAGAACTTCCCCACCGCACCCAGGCCTTACCCACTTTACTCTTCCCGACCCTCGCCCGTGAATATCCTTCTAGGTGCTAGTGTTCAATCCTACCCTATCAGCAAGAACACAGGTTTAGGTCCTAGAGTGGTGATGGACAGCACCCCCAGTCTAATCCCAAAGCCAGGTGAACTCAGAACAGGTTGTTCTAAGGGAAAAACTGGCCTGCTTGTCGATTTTACTTAGCATGGGTGCAGTTCTAAACAGCGACCCGCTGTCTGTGAAGACCCCCCTCCCCCCCAACTTGCATTTGTCAAAATCCACCCTCCTGAACCTTAACACTGTGAGGTCAAGATCAATGGGATCCATGAAAACAGTGTATGGTATAAAAGATCATAGCCTGTATGTGTTCCCAGTACCACACCATCTCATTAACCAAGGTTATTCGAAAACCCACATAGAACTCAACCCCTCAGCTGGGTTAGAGTTTAAACATTTCAAAGTCACACCTATTCAGGTCTTTCCTGTTCGTTGTCTTTAAGCAGTAAACTAAATGTTTTCTTAACCACTTTTTCATATCTGAAGTTTCCATGGTCAATTGCTAACCGGATTAAAGAACAACTTCTCATTTTCTTGTTTAAATGAACATGGTGAAAAAATAATAGCAGTCTTACTGAACATTACTGAGCTCAGTTATTTTTAAGATGTTTTACATTCATTTTATTTAGTGCCCAGAAATGCCACAATGATCCCAGACTGTAATTTAGTACATGATGAATCGCATGATGAATTTATGAGTTTATTTACTCAGTGAGCTACTCTGAAGCCATTAATTTTAACTTCATTGTCAGAATAGATGAAATTGTGCATTTGAGATGTAGTTTCTTGGTTATCCTTAATATATTCTCCCAGTTGCTACTTATTTTAGCTCATTCATTTTCAGTTTTGTTTTGTTTTTCAAGAGAGGGTTTCTCAATACGTTCCTGACTATCCTGGAACTCTCTCTGTAGACCAGACTAGCCTTCAGCTCAGATATCTCCCTGTCTCTGCCTCCTGGGTGCTAGGATTAAAGGTGTGTGGCCACCACTGCTCAGCTTGTTTCTGGGTTTTTTGTTTGTTTGTTTGTTTTTAAGATCTGGTCAGCTAGATCGACACCGTCCCATTTTTTAAGTCTTTTTAAATTCTTACCATTATCTTTATCTCCTCACCTAAAAAAAAGCAAGGCCGTCCAGGTTTCTGTCTCTGGAACTTACAGCTGCCTCTTAATCATTTCAGCTCTGGGAAGAAAGAGAGATGGAGGTTTCCTGGCGGTTCTGGATAGTTCTCTTTCTGACCCTGCAGGGTCTGTCCGCATTGGATTTTGACCCATACCGAGTCCTGGGGGTCAGCCGCACCGCCAGTCAGGCTGACATTAAAAAGGCGTATAAGAAGCTCGCCCGGGAATGGTATGTGAAATCAAGAACGGAAGTTTAACATATGCTAAGCAGTCAGCAGGTGGTTTGTCTGTGTCTATGTTCAGCAGACGTAGTTGTCTAGAGTGTTGGTGTTCAGCTAGCGACCCATGTTCTGTCAGTGCTAGTAATCACAAAGCTTGTGCTTACTTTGACACACACCCTTCAAGAATGTTATGGCTTAGAGCATTGTCTTAGGTACTGTTAGGATATTATGTAATGTTAAAGTAAGATGTAACTTTGAAACCAGGGATAGTGGTGCACTACGTTAATCCCAGCTCTTAGGGGTAGAGACAGGCAGATCTTTGTGAGTTCGAGGCCAGCTTGGTCTACAGAGTGAGTTCCAGGACAGCCAGGGCTACGTAACCCTGTCTCAGAAAAAAAAAAAAAAAGAAAAAAGAAAAAAAAACAAAACAAGAAAGAAAGAAGTAACTTTGATTTAAAAAAAAAATAGTTGGGGCAACCCTTGAGCTGATAGTTCTGGGTTCTGTTAGAAGCAGAATGAGCAAGCCACTAAACAGCACTTCTAGATGGCCTCTGCATCAACTCTTGCCTCCATGTTCCTGCCCTGCTTGAGTTCCTGTGCTGAGTTCTGTGGAAGAAGTGAAACAAACCCTTCCTTCCTCTTGAGGAAAAAAAAAAGTAATCAAACTGGACATGGTACCCTACACTTATGATCCCAGCACTTGGGAGGCAGAGGCAGGAGCCTCACCCACTCTGAGTTCAAGTCCACTAGAACAAATGAATCAGGAAAGAGAAGGAACCAACAGTGATGTGATCAGCAGCCATGCGCTGCCCTTCCTGTCATGTGATATTTATAGTAATTTTTTGGTTTGGTTTGGTTTTTCTGAGACAAGGTCTCTCCTTTTTTTTTTTAAATGTCTTCTTTTTTTATATTTTATTTATTTATTATGTATACAATATTCTGTCTGTGTGTCTGCCTGCAGGCCAGAAAAGGGCACCATACCTCATTACAGATGGTTGTGAGCCACCATGTGGTTGCTGGGAATTGAACTCAGGACCTATGGAAGAGCAGGCAATGCTCTTAACCACTGAACCATCTCTCCAGCCCCCGGTCTCTCCTTTTTTTAAAAATATTATTTTGAATTCTGTGTATATATCAGAAGATGCTGCCAAGTACCTGGAGCTGTGAGTTGCTGATGTGGGTGCAGGAACTGAACCCAGGTCCTCTGCCTCTGTGAGAGCAGCAAGTGCTCTTAACCACTGAGCCATCCCTCCAGCTCCATAAAGCAGTTCTTAATAGGTATAAGTGCTACAGGAAACATTATACAGTTCTGTTCTCTAAATCTCTAAGCTATAGAAAAGTTTAGAATAAGTACTTTGGCCTCCAATTTTAAGAGGAGATTCGAGAACCAAGTGTAATTACTTTAAAAAAAAATAAAATCTTTTTTTTTTTTTTTTTTTTTTGGTTTTTCGAGTCAGGGTTTCTCTGTGGCTTTGGAGCCTGTCCTGGAACTAGCTCTGTAGACCAGGCTGGTCTCGAACTCACAGAGATCCGCCTGCCTCTGCCTCCCGAGTGCTGGGATTAAAGGCGTACGCCACCATCACCCGGCAAAAAAATAAAATCTTAAAGAGAGCTATCAGACTTTTTTAGGGGGGTGGGGAGACAGGGATCTTTCTATATAGCCTGTCTGGCCTAGAACTTGCTGTGTAGACCAGGCTGGCCCTGAACTCACAGGGATCCCCTGCCTCTCGAGTGTTATGTGTACTCATGAGAACTATCAGTTTTATCTGTTGTTTTCAGGATTATCATTAGCAGAGGAGCAATAAGTGTTAAACTTTCTTTTTTTTTTTTTTTTTTTTTGGTTTTTTCGAGACAGGGTTTCTCTGTGGTTTTGGAGCCTGTCCTGGAACTAGCTCTTGTAGACCAGGCTAAGTGTTAAACTTTCTGAGGCAAACCTCTCTGAGGACAGCTTCAGCCCAGCCCAAGAGTCACAAATGCTAAGCAGTTGCAGAGAGAGTGACAGCCATGGTGTTTCTGAGCACCTACTGCATGGTCACCTCCGGGTTCTGTGTCTCATGGCCCCCATTTGATTAGCCCGTGAAAGAGGTGTTTGAACCCCATAGACAAATGGAAAGGTCAAAGCTCAGAGTTGGTAAGCCTGTATTGCCTTTGACTTTGTGATCACTTGCCCATCTGTACATGAGTAAAGTTGGGCACGTTAGAGCTTTGGCGGCAAGGAGTGTCCAGTTGGGCAGCCACAAAGCTGCCCGAAGCAGATGAGTCTGTAATCAGGCCTGGCTCTGGCTGGCACCATTTTCCCTCACTAAACAGATTTAGCTTAATTTTAAACTAGTTGTGGTAAAGGTCAAAGGTCGTTTATAATGTTCTGAACATGTATTTGGGACTATATTCATATCGTGAGGACTCTAGAATTGGATGCTGAGAGTAAAGCGCGTTGTCCACTAATGCATGGCCTCTTTCCAGCAATTCTCTGCCAAACTGGCTTTTAGTAATATTTCAGGGCCATGCCTCGCTGTACTTAAAGCAAAATTGACAACCCGCGGTTATTTCAGAAATAGCAGCCTCTGGATGGGATGTCTAGCCTTGGCTGGACAGAATGGTGGCCTAAGGATGTGGGACCTCCTGCAAGAATGCCTTGTGCTGTAAAAGGTGTTGTGTCCCTTCTTCCTGCTGGAGTCTCCTGGAATAATTCATGGCCGTACAAATGAACAGTGCTGGCTCTGTGCATTGAAATCGTATTTTACCTGCGTGTTTGTACCGTCCTCCTGTTCTCCGTCGTTTGGGCCCTGGCAGTGTTTTCTCACTTTATTCTGTGTCCCCTCTAGATGGTTTCATAGAAACACTGAAAGTGGTGTCATGGCCCCACTTCACTCCAGAATAACTTGAGGAAGAGGGAAATGGTTTCATAGCAACACCAAAAGTGCCCTTATGGCCCCATTTGACTTCCAGAAGGATCCTAGGCAGGGGAAGTGGTTAGCAGTCGACTATATTTTGCCAGGTGCTTTACTCACAAAAATTGTTACTTGCTTGGTGAAACCATGTAAAATGACTTTTTTCTGTCAGGAAAACCATATTCTCACCCAAGAATTGTATTATCATGAGTACTTTTATTTGCCATCCGTGTTAGCAGAGTACCAAGGCCCCCAGGAAAAGCAGATTGGCAGAACATGGTTCGCTCAGCCAAGGCGCATCAAATCTGCCTCATTCTTAGCCGAAATTACTTCTTCCCATCGTCATTTTATTCCTTTAGAGGTCATGCTGATGTCGCTTGAGCCCATGTGCAGTACTGTCTTCACTATGAAACGTTAAGTTTGCCTGGCGTGAGGCAGCTCGTGAGTCTGTCTCACTCCCTGAACTCAACAGTGGACAGTGCTCCCCTCAGGCTGAACTTTCCTGCTCCAAGTACTTGCAACTTTGAGAGGTCCCCCGCCTTCAGGAAAGCACTCTATCAGTGCAGACTGCCTTCTGAGGGTCTCAGTTAACCTGTCCTGTCCAGCTGCCTCCGACCCTGCCTCGGCCTCATGCAAAGCCCCTCCTCCCCTTCCTGTCCTGGACAGCTCCTCATAGTTCCTTGAGTCTCCTCATGTCAAGTCATTATTTGCAGGCTCGCACAGCTCTGTCCACTTATCCTCGAACCAGAGTCTGAGCATTAAAAGCCTTTTATTCTGGTCAACCAGAAACATGCTTTGGAGTCCCCATCCCATCCCCTTCAGTCCTGCTGTTTCCGGTGTGCCTACCTTGCATTGACTTTTTAACCTCAGTATTATGCAAGGACTCAGTGGGTAAGGGCAGAGTGGTATCCAAATTCCAGTCACTTGAGCTGGCATTGGCAGCACACACCTTTAATTCCAGCACTCAGGAGGCAGAGACAGGTGGATCTCTCTGAGTTTGAGGCTAGCCTGATCTACAGAGTGAGTTCCAGGACAGCCAGGACTGTTTCACAGAGAAACCCTTGTTCCGAAATAAGAAAAAGAAAGGAAGGAAGGAAGGAAGGAAGGAAAGGAAAAAGAAGAATATGGGGTATAAAGCACTCACATTCCTGCTCGAATAAGCTGATTGAATTGTAGATGATTTATTCAGTACTTTTGATGTGTTCTCAGCCTTTTCCACTTCGCTGTGAGTTGTTTTTCTTCTCAGAATGTTTGCTAGAAGAAATTTCTTAAGACTAGAGGATGTGATTATATAAAGAGTGAATGGGTCCAGGCGTGGTGGCTCACGCCCTTAATTCCAGTACTTTGCGGGGGTGGGGGAGCAGAAGCAGGTGATCTCAGTGAGTTTGAGGTCAGCTTGGTCCACCAAGAGAGTTCCAGGACTGCTAGGGCTACATAGAGGGACCCTGTCGCAAAACAGCAGCAAAGAATAAATGGGGCTGGGTGTGGTCGAACAGGCCTGTGATCCCTGCTGTCACAGTGCTGAGGGATGAAGATGAGGGTGCAGATGTGTCTCCTCGGGAGCATGCTGCGGGGCTCTCTGGCGCTTTGAAAGTGTGCCCAGCTGGAGCATCTTAAGAGAAAATTGCCTGAGTTAAAGTTGCATTTTTTTATGCTCATGTGAAGCAGCTGATTGTTTCTACGTTAGGAAGCAGTGCTAAGCAAACCACCTTCCCTCGCTAGTGATGAGCTGTGTATGTAAGGTGATAAAATGATCGTGTGTGAACAGTTCTCACTGTCTGCCGTCTGTGTTTCAGGCATCCTGACAAAAACAAAGACCCTGGTGCCGAGGACAAGTTCATTCAGATCAGCAAGGCCTATGAGGTACCGTGTCAGACACTCCATTGCCTCCATTAGTACCTAAAAATGGGGTGGAGGGACTGGGGAGATGGCTCAGCATCTCAACCATGTAAGCAGGAGGTCCAAAGTTTGCATCTGCAGAACCCACACAAAGGCCTGGATGGGCTTAGCAGGCCATCTGCAGTTTTAGTGCTCAGAAGGCTGAGAAAGGATCCCCAGGGCAGCTGGCCAGCTAGGCTCGCCTGTGCTGAGAGCTCTGGGTTCAGTTGAGAGACTCTGTCTGAGTGAGTATGGCAGAGAAGGGCATAGCTTTGGCCTTCCTCAGCCCATGTGTGCACACACATGCAAACAGAAATGCAAACACATACACAGAACGAAACAAAAGGAACACAGGTGGGCACGTTCCCCACACCTGATCCGGTCTCCTCATGATAGAGAAAGTGGCTTTGTCCCCCGCCCACCACCACCATGTTGAAGCAGGTGCCTGAACATTTCAGCCCCTGGAAAACCTGACCCACTTTGAAAGCTTTAATTAGAATTGTGCAATTACTCAGGATAGATGTCTGCTGTGATTGCAGAGTCACACACCAGTTTGCCTGGTTACACAAGGTTACAAATAACTTTAAAATACATGATTTTTGGTAAGTCTCCAACATGTCACCTTAAATAACGTGGCCTAGAATACATGTAAACAGTGAGTCTCAGGCCACCTGATTTGTTGGGTAATGTGCTCCAGCCAGTAGTGCTTAGGCTGTATAGTGAGTGACTCATCATCCTAAAACATTAGCAGATTGGAGTCTTCAAAGTTAGGTTTCAGTAAAACAAAGTCAGTGGTAAAATGGCTCGGTGGGTAAGGATACCTGCTACCAAGCCCAAAGACCTGTGTTCAATCCCCAGGACCCCAGTGCTGGAAAGAAAGAACTGACTCCTGCAAGCTGCCCTCTGACCTCCACACCTGTGTCCTGGCAGGCATTAGATAAGCGTAAATGCAAAAAGCTGAAGTCGGTTCATGCATGAGGCCCTGGGCTCTGCTCTTTGGTTACCTTTTAGTTGTCAAGCATACCATACCTTGGTCCAGATGACTTTAACTGCAAGGATACAGCCAGGGTAATATTCTGTGATGGATCCTGGTGACATCATTGTCGGGTCTTATTTGTTACTTCTTTACTAGTACTTACTGAGATTAGCGGCCTTAATATCAGCATGAGTGTGGAGAGCTCAACAAATGAAATTTGAGGTTCTGATGTTTCTATTCGGAGGTTTTATGTGTGTGTGGTTTGTATTTTGTGAGCTTACATGTGTCACAGCATTCATGTAGTACTCAGAGGAAAGCTTGCATGAGTTGGCTCTCCAGCCATATGGATTCTAGGGATGGTAAGGTCATAATCTCCTCTCTCCTTCCCTCCCGTGCCTCCTTGCTGGAGGTTGAACCCAGCATCCCTGTTATACATTTATTAGAAATGTACTTCTTCTGTCTTTCAGGCTGCTTATAGAGAAGTCACGTGGGGCTGGGGTGTGGCTCAGCGTAAAGGGTTTGCCAAGTGCCTCAGTCCTGAAAGAAGAGAAGAGAAAGGAAAGTACTTTGATAAACCACTTCCTCCTTTAGACTCCTTGTCATCTTCTTGCTTATAGATTCTCTCCAATGAGGAGAAGAGGACGAACTACGACCACTATGGTGACGCTGGTGAGAACCAGGGCTACCAGAAGCAGCAGCGCGAGTATCGCTTCCGCCACTTCCATGAGAACTTTTATTTCGATGAGTCGTTTTTCCACTTCCCTTTCAATTCGGAGCGGCGGGACTCCATCGATGAGAAGTACCTGTTGCACTTTTCACACTACGTGAATGAAGTGGTTCCCGATAGCTTCAAGAAACCCTACCTCATTAAGATTACCTCGGATTGGTGCTTTAGCTGTATCCATATCGAGCCTGTCTGGAAAGAAGTGGTCCAGGAATTGGAAGGACTGGGTAAGTCGTTTCCTTATTAGGATACGTTTATACAGGAGGTGACGCTTGTCATGCTTTTCTTTTCTTTTTAAGACTTCTGTGTTTTGTATGTATGAGTGTTCACCCACATGTATGTGTGTGCATTACATGCACACAGTGAACATGGAGACCAGAAGAGGGTGTTAAATCTCCTGGAACTGGAGCCAGAGGTCGTTGTGAGCTGCCCTGTGTGCACTGGGAACTGAAGCCAGGTCCTCTGCAAGAGCAGCCAGTGCCCTTAACCCCAGAGCCATCTCCCCGCCCACCATTCTTAAATTTGGTGGGCTGTTGGAGAAAGGGAACCATTGGTGTACTTTCTTTTCCCAAGTCCAGAATGATTGATTTTTGAAGGATGTTTATGGAAAGGGAGATGTAGAAGCTACTTTTCTTTTTATTTATTTATTTGTTTTTTTTTTTTTAAGACAGGGTTTCTCTGAAGCTTTGGAGCCTATCCTGGAGCTAGTTCTCGTAGACCAGGCTGGCCTCAAACTCACAGAGATCCACCTGCCTCTGCCTCCCGAGTGCTGGAATTAAAGGCGCGTGCCACCACCGCCTGGCCACTCTTTTTATTTTTTAAATTTGTATGAATGTTTTGCCTGTACATATTTCTGTTCCCTGCTTGGATGCCTGGTCCCTGAGGAGACCAGAAGAAGGTGTCAGAGCCCCTGGAACTTCAGTTACAGAAGGTTGTGAGCCTTCATGTGGGTGCTGGGAATCAAGCCCAGGTCCTCTGCAAGAGCATCAACACTCTTACCCACCAAACCATGTCTCCAATCTCTGATTTCCTAAAGGCATACACCACCATGCCAGACTCTTTTTATTATTATTACTGTTATTGTTGTTGTTGTTGTTGTTTATTTGGGCAGCAGGGGAGAAGGCTGGTGCCGTGGTGCTCATAAGGAGGTCAAAGGACAACTTTGAACAGTCAGTTCTCTCTTTCTACCTTTATGTGGACCCTGAGGACTCAACTCAAGTTGGCAGTGTTACATAGCAAGCGCCTTTATTACTCAACCATCTTGCTGGCCCACCACTGTCCTTTGCCTGATTGATTTAAAGCTTTATCTACGTAGTATCCAAGTCTCTCATTAGAAAGGGCAACTAGCTGAATGTCTCCACCCTAGCGCATGGGCTGACAATAAAGCCAAACTAATTTCCGGCCCATAAGCTCAGGAACCAAAGGCTAGGACTGCTCCGAACAGTCCTTACAGTGATGAGGATCACTTATGAGAGGTCCGAAAAGGGAAAAAAAAAAGACAAAAAATTTGAACAGTGTGAAAGGACCACTCTTAAGTGGCCCGAAAAGAGAAAACAAAAAAATCTGAACAGCGCGAGGATCACTCTGAGTGGTCTGGTCACGTTTTTAGCTATGGGAAGCAACCAGAGGTGAATGTGAGCAAAAGCTGACTTGGGGAAGGGAACCTTACCATTTGCAGCGATGGAGCAGGCAGAGAATGTGTCCTCAGCCGGCCCGCCCATGGACTGGAGGGAACACCAAGAGAGCCTGGGCGAGTCACTCAACGAATGTTATTCTATTTTAAGATACGGTGTGGGGTCCCACAGCCTGTCCCACAGGGGCCCAAGGTCTAGGCAGGTCCTGCTTGCAGGGGGTGTGCGGGGCTTGTCTCTTAAAGGGACAGGGTACCCAGGTGACAGGCCAGGCCCCAGATCATAACATTCAGTATGCTGAGGACCCTGGATGCAGTCACCTGGAACCACTGTGCTGGAAACAGTAAGCTATGGAGAAAGAGAAAGTGAGTGGGATTCAAGGAATGCTGGAAGGGGTGGGGGACGACACACGGACACAACACAGCTTTAATATAAGCTGATGTAAACCTTCTGAGAAGGACTTGAAGTCAATGAAGGTGTTAGCTATAGAGACACCATTGGGCCAGGGCCAGGGCCAAGACCCCAAAACTGTAGCATCCTTGATTAGTCTAGGCTGGAGCAAGCTAAGAACAAGGAGATGGGACCTGGGACCATATCATGAGTCCATTGTCCTTTTGTAGACCGTGGTTTGATTCCAAGTAGAGGGAGTAGGTCTTTGCAGGGTTTAGACAGAGGCATGGTGTGATTCACGTAAAAGGAACAATCTGGTGATTATGTTAAGAACAGGAAAGACCACTTTGGAGGCCATTGTAGCTGCCAACCAAGAGGGATGAGGAAGCTATGTGCTGTGGTGCACACCTGTGATCCATTGCACCTGAGGAGCCAGAGGCAAGAAGATAGGGTGTTCGGGTCAGCCTCGGTTACAAACTGAGGTGGAAAGAGGGGGTAGAGGAATACTGCCTTGGCATCTTCTAAAGAGAGACCCAGGAAGCTGGCTGGAAGATTCGATGTGGGTGTAAGGGATGACAAGGGTGGCTGTGTGGTGGGAGAAATGGAGCTGCCATGTTTGCAGTGGTGGAGGCAGTGGTGGAACTCTGTGGGAGGAGACCAGTTTGGTTTCAGGTGTTTGACACTCAAGTCTCCCAGACACCCCAAAAATGTCTCCTTTCTGCCTGTTAATCTTGCACTTAAGAGTAGCTGGCCCGGGCTAGAGAGATGGCTCAGTGGTTAAGAGCATTGCCTGCTCTTCCAAAGGTCCTGAGTTCAATTCCCAGCAACCACATGGTGGCTCACAACCATCTGTAAAGAGGTCTGGTGCCCTCTTCTGGCCTGCAGACATGTACACAGACAGAATATTGTATGCATAATAAATAAATAATTTAAAAAAAAAGAGTAGCTGGCCCTAGCCAGGCGATGGAGGCGCATGCCTTTAATCCCAGCACTCGGGAGGCAGAGGCAGGCAGATCTCTGTGAGTTCGAGGCCAGCCTGGTCTACAAGAGCTAGTTCCAGGACAGGCTCCAAAGCTACAGAGAAACCCTGTCTTGAAAAACTTAAAAAAAAAAAAAAGAGTAGCTGGTCCTTCAGATAATATGGTTAAATGAAAGAACAAGAGAAGACAGGTGTTAAGCGAAACAAGTGTTAGGTGAAAAAGATTACCCCGCATAAACCTTATTATTGCTATTCGCCTGTTTGGTTGTCTTTTCTTATTTTGTAGGTGTATTTGTGTCTAACTTGTGTATGTGAAATGCCAGAGCATGTGTGGAGTGGGCAGAGAACAAATTCTGGAAATCAGTTCTTGCTCCACACCTTGTTTTAAGGCAAGGTCTCTCTTGGTCCCACCATGCTGTGCTCCAGGATAGCTGGCCCATGGGGGTCTTGCTTCCAGTACTTTCCCTAGGTGCTACGGATCTGAACTCGTCACTAGGCTTATGTGGCAAGCTTTATTACCCACCAAGCCATCTCTTGGCACCTTCTTTCACTTGATAAAGAATTTGTAGCCATGCTGGTGACACACACCTTTAGTTCCAGCATTCAGGAGGCAGAGACAGGGAGGTCAATTTGAGGCCATCCTGCTCTACATAAAAATTTTAGGCCAGCTAAGGCTACATAGTAAGGCCATGTCTCAAAAAAAGAAAAAAAATTGTATTCTTAGAATTCTTTCAAATTATTATCTTATATTAATAGGTATTTTTCCTGCATGTATATCTGGGTTTTATTTTTTATTTATTTGAAAAAGGTTGTCAAGGTTTGAATAAGAACGTCACACATTGACAGACAATGGTGGTGCACGCCATTAATCCTAGCGCTCGGGAAGCAGAGGCAGGCGGAACTCTGCAAGTTTGAGGCCAGTATGGTCTACAGAGCTAGTACTAACACAGCTAAGGCTACACAAAGAAACACTGTTTCAAAAAAAAGAATGCCACCATAGGCTTATATATTTGAATACTTAGTCATCAGGAGTGACAATACTCGAGAAGGATTATTAGGAGTGGCCTTGCTGGAATAGGAGTAGCCTTGCTGGAATAGGCGTGACCTTGTTGGATGAAGTGTGTCACTTGTGGGTAGAGATTTCAAAAGGCCAACTCCAGCCCAGGGGCTCTCTTCCTGCTGCCTGGGGATCCAAATGTAAAACTCTCAACTGCTTCTCCAGTACCATGTCTGCTTGCATGCTGCCGTGCTCCCTGCCATGACTACAGTGAACTAAACCTCTGTACTGTAAGCTAGCCCCGGTTATTTAAATACTTTCCTTGTATAGGAGTTGCTGTGTCGTGGTGTCTCTTCACAGCAACCGAATAGTGACTGAGATGCAGGGTCTCTCTCTATAGTCGTGGCTGGCATGGAACTTGACATGTAGACCAGGCTGGCCTCAGACTCAGTGCTGGGATTAAAGGTGTGTGCCATCACACACAGCCTAGTGTGTACATCTATGCACCACATGTATACCTGGTGTCTGAGGAGGCCAGAGAGGGTGTCTGGTCCTCTGGAACTGGAGTAATAGACAGCTATGAATCACCATGTGGATGCTGGGAATTGAACCTAGTTCCCAATGCAGCCAGTGCTCTTAACTTCTTTTTTTTTTTTTTTTTGGTTTTTTCGAGGCAGGGTTTCTATGTGGTTTTTTTTTTAAATATTTATTTTATTTATTTATCATGTATACAATATTCTGTCTGTGTGTATGCTTGCAGTCCGGAAGAGGGCACCAGACCTCTTTACAGATGGTTGTTAGCCACCATGTGGTTGCCGGGAACTGAACTCAGGACCTTTGGAAGAGCAGGCAGTGCTCTTAACCACTGAGCCATCTCTCCAGCCCTCTATGTGGTTTTGGAGCCTGTCCTGGAACTAGCTCTTGTAGACCAGGCTGGTCTCGAACTCACAGAGATCCGCCTGCCTCTGCCTCCCGAGTGCTGGGATTAAAGGCGTGCGCCACCACCGCCCGGCTGCTCTTAACTTCTGAACCATCTCCCCAGCCCAAGAATCTGTATTTCTTTTTTTTTTAATATTTATTTATTTATTATGTATACAATAGTCTGTCTGTGTGTATGTCTGCAGCCCAGAAGAGGGCACCAGACCTCATTACAGATGGTTGTGAGCCACCATGTGGTTGCCGGGAATTGAACTCAGGACCTTTGGAATTTGGAAGAGCAGGCAATGCTCTTAACCTCTGAGCCATCTCTCCAGCCCAAAAATCTGTATTTCTTAAATCGTTCCTAATTGTGTTGGAGGGGGTACACATGCAACAGCAAGGATGTGGAGGTCAGAGACAGCACTGTGGAGGCGGTTAAGTAATGTGTATAAAAGGAAAATGTCTTCCCAGCAGTAAGATGTGCACTTCTTCTGTTGATAAGTCATAGGCCATGGCGCTGGGTGGGACACTGTAGCTGAGTCATCAGCCCCTTAGCTTGTTCACACATGTTTGTATATGGGTAGGAACATGGTGTACCAATTCTTCTCTCTCTTACATTTACTTAGTAAGTGTGCATGCATGTGTGTGTGCGTGTGTATGTGCCAAAAGTGTTCAAAGGTCAGAGAGCAACCTGCCAGAGTCAATTCTCCTTTTATCTTGTGGGTTCCAGGGATGGACCTCAGGCTTGGCAGCAAGTTCCTTTATTCCCTGATCCATCTCTCTGGCCCTCTTTTTTTCTTTTAAAGCATTTTCTCATGACCTGTTCCCAAAATTAGAAAAAATAGACTTAAAAGATGTTCTGGTTTGCAACTGTTTGTAAATATTACCAGATTGCGGTGAAAGAATGCTAAACAAGCTATTAGAAAATTACCTACTCCAACCCAATTGGGTTTCACTTCCCACTATAAAGGATTCTTCTCAGCAACACTTCATGGAGCTCTTCCATGCTTTTCAGGTGTGGGGATTGGTGTCGTCCATGCTGGCTATGAAAGACGCCTGGCCCATCACCTGGGAGCACACAGCACCCCCTCCATCCTAGGAATCATCAATGGGAAAATCTCCTTCTTCCACAATGCAGTGGTTCATGAGAACCTACGGCAGTTCGTGGAGAGTCTTCTTCCAGGGAACTTGGTGGAGAAGGTGAGTGTCCTCTGAGAACGGGCTACCAGCCGGAACCTCCCAGTCTTCACTCTGGACAGCCAGGCATTTACTGTTTCCTAATCATAATGATAAAACCTGGGAGACTGAAGCAGGGCTACAGAGCCGAAGAAAGGTCACTCTATTAACAACCAGCTCACAAGTGTTATCCCAGGAGCCTGATCTCATGCCAGGGTCATGTTTCCTAAACAACAACACAGTTAGATCGCGTGATTAAGATTTATGGATCATGCATTTGTTCATGTGTGTGTATTTGTTCTGTAAAAATACTCAAACCAGATTTCATTGAGAAAAGATGAATTACATTTGGTTTTTATATATTTAAGGATCACAGCTACCAAAACTACCAGACTCATTAAACCAAGTAATACTTCTGGAACTTTAGAAGCTGCTGAGGAACCAGTGGTGGTGTCTTGCACCTTTAATCCCAGCACTTGGGAAGCAGAGGCAGGTGGCTCTGAGTTTGAGGCCATCATGGTCTATATAGCAACTCTGAGTTTGAGATTAGTTTGGTCTACATAGCGAGTTCCAGGACAAGTTTTCTGCATAGAGAAAAAAAACAAAACAAAAAGTAAAATCTCAGTGAGAGCCAGAGCCAGCTCAGAAGGCAAAGGTGCTCCCTGCAAGTCTGACAACCTGAGTTGATGCCTGAGGACCCACATGGTGAAGGAGAGAACCCTCTCCTGCAGGTTGTCCTCTGACCAACACATGCATGCATAGCTCATGTACCTACATGTACACAAGGTAATTAAGTGTAATTTTGTTGTTGTTGTTATTATTTGAGACTTGGGTCCTCTTCTAGAGCTGCAAGAATCTCTCTCTAGCCATTTTTACAGGGCCTGTGCTGCATACCTTCTGTAGGAGTACAACTCTGAAGGGCTGATGGTAATGCCCTGGGTTCAATCCCCAATGGTAGAAGAACCAAGTCACCCTGTAATGAAACAAAGACAAGAATCGGGTATAGCTGAATGGTAGAGCACTCACCTAGCCTGCGGAGGCTGTAGGTTCAATCCTCAGTACTCCTCCCAAAACAAATAGAAAAGGAACCAACTCCAGAAGTGATTATGATATGGTCAGTATTCTGTCACTCAGTGTGGTTATTGTAATCTGTAAGAGTTTATAAACAAATGGTAGCTATATCTCCATTCTTCTAGTGGTTTTGTCTAATTAAGACAAAACAATAGTGACAAAGACAGGCAGATCTCTGTAAGTTTGAGGCCAGTGTGGTCTACATAGCATGTTCTAGGACAGCCGGGGCTACATAGACCCTGTCTCAAAAAGACAAGATGATTAGTTATCTGCATTTTTTAAATAAACAACCTCTTTATACATATTTAATTGGTCTCCTGACAGCATTATTATACAGTTGTTAAGAATTAAGTATTGGGGCCATATAATTGCCTCAGCAGTTAAGAGCACTGGCTACTCTTCCAGAGGACCTGGATTCGGTTCCTAGCATCCACATGGCAGCTAACACCCATTGGAACTCTGGTTCCAGGGGATTTGATTTCCACTTCTGACCTTTGTGAGCACCAGATCTGTGTGTGGTACACATACATATATATAGGCAAACATTTATATACAAAAGAAAAATAAATCTTTTTTTAAAAATTAAATATGGCAACTAACCTTCTATTTCCAATTTAAGGTTACAAATAAAAATTACGTGCGATTCCTCTCTGGCTGGCAGCAGGAGAATAAGCCTCACGCCCTCCTGTTCGGCCAGACACCGGCGGTGCCACTGATGTACAAGGTACTCCCCTACCTCGTGTTCCTGTCCGGGAATCGTAGCCCGTTGCCTGCTTGTCTTTTGTATAATTACATATGGAGCATCTCTAATTTAAGAATCCCAAATCAGAAACTCTTGAACATCAACTCGATGTCACCCACCCCTGACCTCGTGTTGCAGGTCATAGTCAAAACAAAAGCCCACAATTACCTTCATGCTGGGTGGGTAAGATGTGTGGAGCATACAGACTGTTTTATGTTTAAGTTTGGTGCTATCCCCAAGAATACTTCATTGTGGATATGCTAATATTTCAAACTGGATAAGTCTGGACCATTTCTGGTCACAAGTGTTTCAGATAAGGCTGCTCAGCTTGTGGTAGTTTATAGACACACACACACAGGCAAAATTTCAGCATAATGATTATTTTGTTTTATCTCTTGAGGAAATTAGTTGTGTTTATCTTTGCTCGGTTTTTGTGCATAGAATAAATACCTGAAGTGAATGTTTGAGGCTGAGAAAGACCTCGCGGGGATCCATGTGCTGACAGCTCACCCCCACCATTGACATACCCAGAGCCCACTTGCTCTAGAAGCTGGATGCCTCACTGTCCACTTATTCCCTTCCTCTCCTGTGCCCTCACAGTTGACGGCTTTTGCGTACAAAGATTATGTGTCATTCGGTTACGTGTACATGGGCTTGAGAGGTGTGGAAGACATGACCAGGCAGTACAACATCAATGTCTATGCCCCTGCCGTGCTGATCTTTAAAGAGCACATCAACAAGCCTGCTGATGTCATCCAGGTATGTGAGAACCCCCTCCTGTCAAGACCGCCTTCATCGCACCTCAGCCTAGTGTGAACAAGCTTTATAGTCCCAGCAGAGAAGGATCATTCTCAACTACTTAATAAGTCTGAGGCTAGCCTGAGCTACAATGAGACTTTGTCTCAAAGAAAGAGGAGGGAAAGGGAAGTGGTGGGTGGAAGTGTTTCCTGCCTAGTTTGGCCCCCTGAGTTCTCCCCTGGGTCCCCTGTGGTGGAAGGGGAAAACTAACTCCTAGAGGTCATCCTTTGACCTCTGCACGTGCTCAGGCACACCCAGGCACTGCACTCAGGAATAAATCAGAGAAAGACAAAATTGAACAAAGCAGCAGAGAAAAGGAGGAACTCATTTGCCATTTCATTGTACTGATGTACTGAATTTTGCTGGTTATTTTGGTTTTTTTGTTTTGTTTTGTTTTGTTTTTAAATATTTATTTATTTATTATGTATACAATATTCTGTCTGTGTGTATGCCTGCAGGCCAGAAGAGGGCACCAGACCCCATTACAGATGGTTGTGAGCCACCATGTGGTTGCCGGGAATTGAACTCAGGACCTTTGGAAGAGCAGACAATGCTCTTAACCTCTGAGCCATCTCTCCAGCCCTTTGCTGGTTATTTTATGTGACACAGTGATGTTTGGATTTAAAAAAAAATCATTTTATCTCAAATGGCATATACCTGAAATTGCAGTGCTCTGAAGGCTGAGGCAGGAGAATGCTGGTTTGAGAAAAAAGGTGTTTGTTGGTTTGGGGGAGTTTGTTGTTTTTTTTTTGTTTGTTTGTTTGTTTGTTTGTTTTTTTTGTTTTTCGCGACAGGGTTTCTCTGTAGTTTTGGAGCTTGTCCTGGAACTAGCTCTTGTAGACCAGGTTGGCTTCGAACTTACAGAGATCCTCCTGCCTCTGCTTCCCAAGTGCTGGATTAAAGGCGTGTGCCATCACCGCCCACCTTAAAAGAGGATGTTTTATTTGCTCAGCACACATTCTCTCTTGCCTGCTGTGTGGTGAATGTGGTGCTGGCTGGGCATCCGGAGCTGTTAGACTGTGCCTAACGTGCTTCAGTCGGGGTGGATAGACCTAAAGGCGATCTCCAGTCTTGTAGAATAGCAGTGTGCCACACTGGAAATCAGGAAGGTTCGTCTGTGGGGCAGACCCAGATGGGAAATGGCTGATAGGGACCGGAGAGAATGAGTTCATCTTAGGTATGCTGAATTAGAGCTGTCTATAGCAAAGACTGACGGAGCTGACCCTTACACAGGTGGACAGGGACAGCTTAGGAAAGACAGGAGAAAGCTGGGCTGGATGGAAGTGTTTAAAATCTCAGCACTTTGGAGGCGGAGAAAATGAGAATTCAGAGCTAACGTAGGCGGCAGTAGAAGGGTGCTGTTGCAGTAGCTTAGGTAGCTTGTTAGGTGCTTGCCTAGCAGACACAGAGCCCCAGATCGGACCCCAGCACTGTAGAGGCCAGGCGTGGTAGTGCCGGCCTGTGATCCCAGCACTCAGGAGGTAGAAGCAAAAGGAAGGAAGTTCAAGGACATCCTCACCTAGGGAATTCCATGCCAGCCTGAGTTACTTAACACCCATCTCAAAATTCTTTAAAGAGGTAGGAGGGCAACAGATACAGCATGGAAGGTTGTGAGTGTGTCAGTGAGTGGTTGGTTTTTGAGAATTAAAACCTTTTTTAAATTTATATTTATTTATTTTTGTGTATCTGTTCATACTCATGTATGTGTGGAGGTCATAGGACAGCTTGTGGAAGTCAGTTCTTTCCTTCCACCCTGTGGGTTTGGGGAATCAAACTCAGTTCGTAAGGCTTGGCAGTAAACCCCCTTACCCACTGAGCCCTCTCACTGACCCAGAATCTACCTGTCAGTTCACCCTTCTTCATCCTTGTGAGACAGCATCTGTTACACTTTCTCTCTGCTGATAGAAGGAACACAGTTGGTTCTCAGGACTGACTTTGTATCATCCGGCAGCTTTGCAAATGTGTCGTTAGCGTTTGATAGGTACACTGTGGTCACCTGAGGCTGGTGGCGGTTTCGCTGCTCCTGTGTCATGTCTGTCTTCTAAACCACACGACAGAGTGATCAGTGTGCAGTTTTGTGGTCTGCCTCTTCATTCTTAGTAAGTGTGCAGAGGGCTGGGACGTCACTGAGTGGGATCGCTTTCCTAAAGCACACAAAGCCCCACGTCATCTGTCCTGGCACCACACAAAGTGTGTGCCTGAGATCCCAGCACTAGGAAGGTAGATGAGAGCATCAGCAGTCCACGGTTATCCTCAGCTACATAACTGGGTGGGGAGTGGGGGATGGGCAGAGCGGCACATTGATTTAATTCTAGCCCAGAGGCAGACAGATCTTTGTGACTTGGAGGCCATTTGTCTATATAGCAAATTCCAGGCCAGCCAAGGTGGATAGTAAGACCCTGTCTCAAAAAAAGAATAAGAGCTGTCACTGTTTGGGTATTTTGTTTCATTTTGTCTATCTTGAGGTACATATTTGTGCACATTTGACCAGTATTCTACCACTGAGCCACCTCCTTAGTCCTAGGATTTATTTTGAATTGTTAAGTTTGATACAGATCCTAAATGGAAATATATTAGTGTAAAATTCAAAGGCCAGGTGTGGTGGCGCACACCTTTAATCCCAGCACTCGGGAGGCAGAGGCAGGCGGATCTCTGTGAGTTCGAGACCAGCCTGGTCTACAGAGTTAGTTCCAGAACAGGCTCTAAAGCCACAGAGAAACCCTGTCTCGAAAAACCAAAAAAAAAAAAAAAAAAAAAATTTTCAAATGATTGACTCCTCCGAGCTGTTGACGTAAATGGTATGCAGTCACATAGTAGAAACCTCTTGATTTTCCCCTGAGCATGACCTAACTGTATCATCACCTCCACCTGAGTTATCCATCATCTCCACACGTTTCTTGCCTGGTGATGTTGCCGTAGGCAGGGTCTTCATAGCTTGTGAGTAAAGCCCATTGGCAGTGTGAAGACTGAGTGCCTGTTGGTGTTTCTCCAGGCTCGAGGGCTGAAGAAGCAGGTCATTGAGGACTTCATCGCCCAGAACAAGTACCTGCTGGCAGCCCGGCTCACCAGCCAGAGGCTCTTCCATGAACTCTGCCCTGTGAAGCGGTCTCACCGACAGAGGAAGTACGAACTCTGGGCTTTCCTTCTCGCTGAAGTGGGAGGGAGCAGTGGTGTCTTCCTGCAGGGCAGTTAAACTATGATGGGTGAGGTGCCTTAGTCCAGGGTACCCATGCTGAAATAGTAGCATGGGCCACCCTATCTAGCAGATATCTGGAGGACCAGCGGGATGACTCTGCAGGTACAGGCACTGACTGTCAAGCCTGACCACCTGGGTTTGCTCTCTGAGATCATGTGACGGAAGGAGAGAATTGATCCACACGCCCCCAGACACATACATTTTCATCTGCCTGGCATCTCATTATTTTATCATGGCCACTCTTGAGCAGGCTCCCACATGTCCCATAGGGTTTCTGCTCCCATCCGTTCCCTTATTCTTCTCTCTGTTCTCCACACATCTACCATAAATCTCTCCAAACCCAGGCCCCATCAGGTTGCTCCACCCTCTTTTCCTCTCCCACAGCACTTCATTCAAGTCTGCTCAAACATCAGGTGGCATTTCCTGGTCTGCATGAGCGTGACTTCCACCCCATACCAGCCTCTTCTGTCCTCTTTTTCTCACTGCACTTACCAGTGCTCATTATGTGTGTGTCCATGTGTCTGGTGTCTGTTTTCCCCACTAGAACAAGGTAGGGATGTTGCCTGCAAGCTCAGTAAATATTCGGAGAATGAATAAATGAACGCTAGGCTCCCATCAGAACGTTGCAGAGGCAGCCCCTTCAGAAGGAAGTTTGGTCACCTCTGCCCTAAGATAGATTCAGCCAGCCCTTCATGGGAGAGGAGAACAGGACATATGGCTTCTGAAAACTTCCTCACATAGACAGGTCTCCTCTTTCCTTAGCAGCCCTTGCCAGGCCTGACCCTGACCGGAGATTGGTTCTAGGACCTTCTCTCTTGTTCCTTTGCAGGTACTGTGTGGTTTTGCTGACTGCCGAGGCTAGCAAGCCAAGCAAACCCTTTGAAGCCTTCCTGTCATTCGCATTGGCAAACACTCAAGACACGGTGCGGTTCGTGCATGTCTATAGCAGCCGGCAGCAGGAGTTTGCCAGCACATTGCTGCCAGACAGCGAGATGTTCCAAGGACAGTCAGGGGTAAGCCAGGGCCCCCCAACCCTCACCCACATCCCTCCTGTCTTGGGAGTGCTGAATACAGAGTGCAAACATCTGGAAACCTCTGAGACCAGACTGGAGTCTTAATCAAACCTTCATCTTTCACTTAGCCACATCCCCATTTGGGCCCCAGTCCTTCCTGGAAAGCAGCCTTCCTCTGGTCTGGCGCCATCCCAGCTGAGCCATCTCGGCCACTTGCCATGAGGGAAGGTTGAGGTGTGTCAGCCTTTTCCAACAACTTTTCCTAGGATCAGGTGTGGAAGTGTAGAACTCTAGAGGCCCCTTGTCCAACTCTCAGGCCCCTGCTAGATGCTTGGAAACCTCTCCGTCCTCACATGCTCTGCTGGCATCATCACACACACACACATCCCAGAAGCCTACGGTTCTTTCTGGAGTGAGGATTGGAGTTTGGTGATAGAGTGTTTGCCTGAAATGTGCGAGAGCCTGGGTTTCATCCCAGCACCCGGAAAGGAAAGAAATGACCACCTTCTCTGTTGTCATTCGGTTGTCATAGAAATGCTCTCTGCAAAGCCAAGGCTCCTTAACTGTAACGTTGTGTCAGATGCTGCCCTACAAAATCTGTTGAAAGAAAAAAGGTTTAGAATTTTGACAGAGGCTTTGGAAAGTCACCTTAAGAACCATTACTCTTGCCAGGTGCACCGGGGATATGCCTGTAATCCTAGCACTCAGGAGGTAGAGGCAGGATAACAAAATTTGAGATCCTGTCTCAAAAAAATTTAAAAAATAAAACAAGCAAAAATTAGACTGGGAGGTAGGTCCATGGATAAGAATACTGACTGGAGCTGGAGAGATGGCTCAGAAATTAAGAGCACTGACTGTTTTTCCAGAGGTCCTGAGTTCAATTCCCAGCAACCACGTGGTGGCTCACAACCATCAGTAATGAGATCTGGTGCTTTCTTCTGACCTGAAGGCATACATGCAGGAAGAACCCTGCATACATAATTAATAATAAAGTCTTTCTTAAAATAAAAAAAGAATACTGGCTGTTCTCAGAGAAGACCTGGGTTCTATTTCCAGCACCCACATGGAGGCTCACAATTACCTGTAATTCCAGTTCAGGGGATCTGGTGTGTTCTTCTGGTCTCTGAGGGTTCCTGAACGCACATGGTACACATAAACTGATACAGGCACATACATATACACATAAAAATAATAAATATATTTTAATACTATTTTTGAGCTTATTTAATTACATTTCTCCCTTCCTTTTCCTCCCTCCAAACCCTTTCATATACCCCTTGCCACTCTGCTTCAAATCCATGGCCTTTTTAAAAATTGGGTTGCTATTGCACTATATTTGTATATACATATATTCCTAAATATGACCAGTTTACATAATACTACCTTTATATTATGTTTTCAGGGTTGACTGTTGGGCACTGCACAACCAATTGGTGTGTTCTTCCCTGGGGAAGGCCACCTCTCCCATTCTATGAATAGATTTTTTTTTTAAAGATTATTTATTATGAATACAGTGTTCTGTCTGCATGTATGCTATAGAACAGAAGAGGGCACCAGCTCTCAGCACAGATGGTTGTGAGCCACCATGTGGTTTCTGGGAATTGAACTCAAGACCTCTGGAAGAACAGCCAGTGCTCTTAACTGCTGAGCCATCTCTCCAGTCCCATGAATAAATTTTCTAAACAAGCAAAAATTAGCCGGGCGGTGGTGGCGCACGCCTTTAATCCCAGCACTTGGGAGGCAGAGGCAGGCGGATCTCTGTGAGTTCAAGACCAGCCTGGTCTACAAGAGCTAGTTCCAGGACAGGCTCCAAAGCCACAGAGAAACCCTGTCTCGAAAAACCAAAAAAAAAAAAAAAAAAAATTAATTAAACTATTGTAAGAAGACCAAAGTTTGAGATATCTTGAGCCTGGGAAATTGAGGCCGACCTAGGCAACATAATGAGAGCTCATCTCAAACATCTCAAACAATATTAATTACTGCACTAAGGATGTGGTTCAGTTGGTAAAGTGCCAGCTGGCGTGCACAAGGCCCTGGGCTCCCTGCCTGCTGCAGTTTAGTCGGGGATGCTGGTGAGATAGAGACAAGCAAGTCAAGGGGCTTCTTCACAAGAGCATAGTGAATTCGAAAAGTAATGGTGCCTCTTGTCAGAGCGTAGGGTCTCTTACAAATTACTGTAAACACAGGGCTGGACAGATGGCTCAGCAGTTAAGAACACTGACTGCTCTTCCAGAGGACCCAGGTTCAATTCCCAATACCCACAAAACAGCCCAGAACTGTCTATTAATCCAGTTCCAGGGATTCTGACACCTTCATAACAGTGTACATAAAATAAATTTAAATAAATTATAAAAAAACAAATACCATAAACATATCAGTATTTGCATTTTTGCTTAAGTTCTGACCTTGTGAAACCCTTTTGTACATCTCTGGAAAAAAGTACAGGCTCATGCCTTTAACCACAGCACTCAAGAGGCAGAGGCAGGCAGAACTCTGAGTTCAAGGCCAGCCTGTTCTACAGAATGATTTCCAGAACTGACAGGGCTACACAAGAGAAACCCCGCCTTGGAAAAAACAAACAAACAAACAGAAAAAAAAAAAACACTGGCAAGTGCAGCTTACAGGTTTTTTTTGGTTTTTTTTTAATGTATAAGATCTAGGTGTGTAAGTCCAGACTGAGCTAAATTCTCGACCCTCCTGCCTCAGCCTCCCGGGGGTTGGGATTTCTGGTATCATTCTATCCTAATTGTTCTTCTCCTTTTCTCCCAGGTGTCCATCTTGGAGAGGCGAAACACAGCGGGAAGGGTGGTATTTAAAACCCTGGAAGACCCCTGGACGGGCAGTGAGAGCGACAAGTTCATCCTTTTGGGTTATCTTGACCAGCTTCGGAAAGATCCGGCCTTTCTCTCCTCTGAAGCTGTCCTTCCTGACCTGGCCGATGAACTTGCCCCTGTGAGCATCTCAGTTGGGAAAGATGGGCCATCAGGAGGGACAGGGTGGACAGAGCAGGGATCCAAAGAAGCACTATGTTGTGGAAGTGTGGGGCCTCCCTCTGGGCCAGGTCCTGACCACTGCCTGTTTCTTCTCTGGCAGGTGTTTCTTCTCCGCTGGCTCTACTCTGCTTCTGATGCCCTCTCGGACTGGTGGGAGAGCCTACTCCACAGTAACTGGTAGGAGCCTCTGGGGTTCCCAGTGACAGTTTCCTTTTCCTTTTATTTATTTATATATTATGTATGCAACATTCTGCTTCCATGTATGCCCACATGCCAGAAGAGGGCACCAGATCTCATTATAGATGGTTGTGAGCCACCATGTGGTTGCTGGGAATTGAACTTAGGACCTCAGGAAGAGCAGCCAGTGCTCTTAACCACTGAGCCATCTCTCCAGCCCCAGTTTCCTTTTTAGTATTTACTGACTGGTACCTCTTGCTGGGGAGGAAGGACCACCCCAGCTGTCCTCTCTGTCAGCAGAACTGATATTGGTCTTCTCTTCACGGCATGTCTGCCACTCAGCGCAGGGCCTGACACGTAGAGCCCAGTGTGTACATTCACAGATATGTCCATCCATGACCCAAACAAACTTGGGGAGAAAACAGCTTATTTTGGCTTATGAGCGAAGGCAGGATCTAAAGCTGAGACCACAAAGGAACACTGCTTACTGGCTTGCTCAGCTATTTTTCTTACACTGCCCAGGTCTGCTTGCCCGTGGGTGGCACCACCCACTGCGGGCTGGGCCCTCCCCTGTCAATTAGTATTCAAGGCACGCCCACAGTCCAGCCTAATGGAGGCAGCTCTCCTGCTGAGGTTCCCTCTTTCCAGGTGACTCTAGTTTATGTCAGGTTGACAACTGAAGCTCACTGTGACACCCCCTGTTCTTTTTTTTTTAAGATTTATTTATCATTTATTTATTATTATTTATCATATATAGTGTTCTGCCTGTATGTTTGCCTGCACACCACAAGAGGGCATTGGATCTCTTTGTAGATGGTTGTGAACCACCATATGGTTACTGGGAATTGAACTCATAACCTCTGGAAGAGCAGTCAATGCTCTTAACCTCTGAGCCATCTCTCCAGCCCCCGATACCCTCTATTCTATCTGAGTCACATTGCTCATTCTGGCCCCAGAAGAGTCAGGTAGACTGACATCACTGAACAGACTCTGTAGCCACCAATAGATACCTCGGTGGCAGAAAGTCCTTCCCTGTGTACAATTTAAGTTCTTCATCTCCTGCAGAATGTTTTAGACATAGTCTAAAGCCACCTTCCAGAAGGCAGTCTCCCCCTCCCCCCACCCCAGAAACAGCCGGTCCTGTGATTGTATTTCCTGGTGAAAGGCTTTTGGTCTGGGACTTTCCTCCTGAGACAGCGACTGTGCCTTTGTTTTCAGGCGAGAGATGATGCCGCTGCTGTCCCTCATCTTCTCAGCCCTCTTCATACTCTTTGGCACTGTCATTGTCCAGGCTTTCAGGTAAGTCTAGGGACTATCAGCGGGAGCCCCAATCTGCCATCTGCCATGGTCATTTATACCCCTAAAAAAAAAGAAAGAAAGAAAGAAAAATAACTTCTGTTTTCATTCTGTAGCGACTCAAATGAAGAACGAGAGTCACAGCCTCCAGAAAAAGAAGAGGTCCCTGAGAAGGCCGGGAAGACTGAGCCAACTTTCACCAAAGAAAACAGCAGGTTCTTCCCATACACCACATGCTTGCCTTTGGTTTCAAAGAGTGTGTAGGATGGGTAGTGTAGAGGGTCAGGAGAGGGTCGCAGTGCTGGGGATCAAACATGAGCTAGACAAGTGCTCTCACCGAGCAACTCTGAAATAACCCAAAGTGTGAAACTCGGTGGCCAGCACCCTAAGGCCACACATAGAGTGTTCTGTGGCAGCCAGTCATGGTGGCACACACCTTCAATTCCAGCACCTGGGAGGCAGAGGCAGGCAGATCACTGTTGAGTTTTATATAGTGGGTTCCAGGCCAGCAGGACTACATATTGTGATCTCATCTCAGAAAAGAAGAAAACAGTTCTGTGCCTCATTGGGGAGTCAGACCAGCTTCAGACTGAGGTGTATGCACAGACATAGATGTCATGTTTTGACCATCTCTTGTACCTCATTGCATGTTTGCGCATCTTATAAAGTGGGAGGGGGACTCTAAAAATCCAAACCATTCTTATTCTCGGGCATTTGGGTAGGGTGTGTTTAAGTTTGTACCCTTAGGGACCAGAAATATCAGATCCCCTGGAGCTGGAGTTCGAGACTGTTATGAAGCCTCTGGAAGAACAGTAGTGCACACTCGTAACCCCTGAGCAGTCTCTTTGGCCCTTTCCCAGACATCCCGAATAAGAGAAAAAGTCACTGCCGCCCATGGTTCACACATATAGATACAGGACTAACAGACTGAGTGCTGTGTGATTTCAGATTCACCATCCCAGCGTCTGTAATGGAAACAGGAAGAGATAGGAGACCTATCTGGCCCAAGGGAGGTGGTAAATGAGCCAGAAGCTAGGGGTAGCCTGTCCCCATGATTCATAACTGCTGATGTCCCCAGGAAAGAACCAATCTAAGTTAACAACAGACTGAGCATTTGTGGCCTCCTTCGCTCTGACATACAGCTGCCTTTGCGCCATTTGAAAAGTTCCATGAAAAGGGCTGCTGCGAGCCAGGCCACCTGTGGAGCAGGGCCACCCTGTGCAGCCTGTGCAGCCAGCAGGGCAGAGTCAGCGCCCACTAACCGGGAGGCATTGTGCTCCACTGGTCTTGTTTTGTTCAGGCTTATGGAGGAGTTTGAATGTTCGTTCTCAGCCCAGGCTGTCCTCGGACTCAGCACACAGTTGAGGCTTGCCTCTCATCCTGCCTCTTCTGCCTAGCCACTAGGACTGCAGCATGTGCTACCATGCCTGGCTTCCACTGGTTTCCACTCCCCCGCCCTGATAGTCTCTAACTCCTCTGTATTTCTCCACAGCAAGATTCCTAAAAAAGGCTTTGTAGAAGTAACTGAACTCACAGATGTGACATACACCAGCAACTTGGTACGCCTGAGGCCAGGCCACATGAATGTGGTCCTCATCCTGTCCAATTCCACCAAGACAAGCCTGCTGCAGAAATTTGCTTTAGAGGTCTACACATTCACCGGGTAAGCAGGGTGCGTGTGTGTGCACTCAATTGTGTGTTGTGTGGTTTGTGTATGGGATAAAAGATATTGGAAGACAGTCTCTCATTTCCCACTTGAGGGGCAGGATTTTATGTCCTTCCCAAGCCAGACATCTGCCATCATTGCGGACCTTCTTTTGACTTTTGTTTGTTTGGTTTTATTTATTTATTTTGATTTTTTGAGACAGGGTCTCTCTGCTAGCCGTGGCTGTCCGGGAACTGTAGACCAGGCTGGCCTCAAACTCACAGAGATCCGCCTGCCTCTGCCTCCCAAGTGCTGGGATTAAAGGTGTGTGCCACCATACCCGATTTGATCTGGTACTTTCTGTGTAGCCCTGGATGTTCTCAAACTCAGAACAATTCTTCTGCCTCTACCTTCCAAGTGCTAGGATTCTGGGCACACCACTCCACACACCTCTCCCCTCTCTCCATGTCTTCATGGTTCTGAACAGAGGAGTATGAGCACCCCACACACACCCCACCACTCCAGCTCCACAGAAATGCCAGCGCAAGCCTTTCCTGGCTGTTCAACCCTGTCGAGAGTTGAACACACCTCCCCCCCCGGTAGCCTGCAGCTAGCTCCCTTCCTGAACCCCGGTCTCTCTCCACAGGAGCAGCAGCCTCCACTTCTCCTTCCTCAGTCTGGACAAACACCGCGAGTGGCTGGAGTACTTGCTGGAGTTTGCTCAGGACGCAGCCCCGATCCCAAACCAGTATGACAAGCACTTCATGGAGCGGGACTACACTGGCTACGTGCTGGCCCTGAATGGCCACAAGAAGTATTTCTGCCTTTTCAAGCCCCTAAAGACAGTGGACGAGGAGACTGTGGGCTCTTGCGACCCTGACTCCTCCAGAGGGAAAACCCCCTGTGGCCTCGGGCCCAAGCCCCTCAAGGGCAAGCTAAGCAAGTTGTCCTTGTGGATGGAGCGCCTGATGGAAGGTTCCTTGCAAAGGTTTTACATCCCATCGTGGCCTGAGCTAGACTGAGACATGGACTCTTCAGGTTTTTAACGTGCCCCAGGAACAGGGCTTTTCAGGGGAGTCTAGGTTTTAGATTTCTCTTCTTGAGCAATGGCTAGAAGACCTTTTCTTTGTCACCTAGGAGTAAAACATGTCGCAGGTTTGATCCCTAGATGACACTCTTTCCTTTGGGTTTTCTCCTCCCGTATGAATGCCGCACTATTTAATAGACCGCTCATCCCCTCTTCTTTGCTGTCCCTGTAACATGCTCACACCACCCTGTCTTTAGGTTGGAGAAACCCAGGGCTTGACCTTGAGTCATGCCTGAACAAACCTCAGGATCCTCAAGAACCTGTCATGCAGGGTGGGTCACTATACCCCCAACCCCCTCCCCTGTAGGCTCCTAATTTGGCCCCTGCCATGCTTCTGCCAAGGCGACAGGCCACCACAGTTTCTAGGTCCTGCATCTTCAAAAGAGGCCTAGTTCTAAGCAATTTTAAATGTGACCGTCTTCTGGGAGCAAGCATTGAGAAGTATATTTTGGGGGTATCCCCCACAACAGTTGGCCAGTCAAACTTTGAAAGGAAAGGGCTGAGCAGTGGATGGGGGTGTAACATTTCCATTTGGTCTTCCCCACCAAGAGAAGGGAGGGTTGAACACTGACTGGAGTCGCATAGCCCTGTGGTCCTTCGTGAGCGTCCCTTGTTCCTCATCTCTGTCCCCTCTCTACACTCCCATGTAAGCCCCATCATAGCCAGGACAGAGTCTGCCTAGCCAGAAGCACTGTAATGACTGAGCCACTGACCTGTCTCCAGATGCCTTTCTGCCTCTGTGGATTTTAGAGTTTGGATACTAGGAGCCATAACCTGTGGTCTTATTCTCTGAGCGTAGATAAGCTGCTATAGAGCCAATAGATTTAAGATGACGCCAAGAGCCAGGTGCAGGAGCCTTCCTGCCTGACTCGCTCTCGAATGAAATGCCGGGCGTGTCTTCGTACCAAGGAACCTGACCTCTCTGACAATTGCATTTTGAACATTGTTGTCCCCAAAGTGCTGAATTTTCAAGTTGTCTCTTGTGACTGTGAGCTGAGACTTGTTCCAGATTCCTATCTGGCAGGCAGCTAGCTTCCTACTTCTGGCCTGCATTTTGGCATCTCGGCTTTATCGTTTCCTCCTTCCCTTATTGCTGCTTCCTGCTGCCAGATCAGATTCATCAAATACAGATTGCCTGGCTCCACGCACCTCAGGCTCAGGGCCGGATCATGTTCGCCCATTCAACATGCCCTCTGTGTTTAGGGCCAGACCACGGCCACACGTGGTGTGTTCTACTGTCAAGCAAGTGCCCTATTGCAAAGTGAAGGGCACAGATCAGGGACAGGACATTCACTCAGTTAGTATTCTCTAATCATATTTGCTTTGAACCAAGCACCTCGGATCCTGACTACTTTAAACACTGAGCTCCAGTGGTAAGTGATGAACTCTCTGAGCCCAGGACCCCTCTGTAGTTTTCAAAGAATCTTTAGCTTTATTAAAAAATAAAGAAATCACTGCCAGGCTTCATTCTTCCATCTGGCCCTCTAGAAGTACACGCTGACTCAATGCTGCTTCTCGTGCACTTGGCCCAGCTAGAAAGCATGAAGGAATCACTTGGCTCCTCAGTGCCCAGTCCTCAGAGTGTGTTTCTGGAGACTGGGGGTGAGCTGGGGTAGGACACGTGCCTAGCATGTGCAAGGCCTGAGTTCCATCCCTAGTATCACATACACAAACGTGTTTGGTTTGGATTTATTTTTTGGTTTTGTTCTGGTTTTTTTTTTCCTTTATTTTTATGGTGGGGCTCCTCTCGTGAGTATGTTGTAACTCATTCATAGATTTTTGTCTTTATATTTCTGGAACTGATAAAATTCCTTGATGTGTAATTTCTGAAAGCCAAAAAACTCCCCAGATATTTGTTCTTTTTCAAAACTGTACCAAGAAGATAAAGGTCCCTGCCATTGGGGGTGTTCCCAGCAAATTTGAGTCCGGAATGCCTGCAGATCTGATAGGGGTAGTGTCACCAAGGGTGTCATGGAGCTTTGGTTTGGTTGCTTGCTTGTTTTGAGACAGGGTCTCACTATGTAGCCCAGGCTGGCTTCCAACTCAAGGTCTTCCTGCCTCAGCCTCCCAAGTCCTGGGCTTACAGGCATGCAGCACAAGTCTGCCGTGGCAGATCCAAGCCTTCCTTCCTGAATGTTGTTTCCATTAATTGTTTATTTTTGTGTCAAATACGAGCTACTTTTATGCTCAGTCGAATGCCAAGGTTTCTTGTCCTTATGAATGTCATATCACAGGACCCAATTTCAGTGAGACATTGCTGTTTGAGGAGGTGGGCGTCTGCCCGAGACCGCCTGCAAATCATGTTCAGTAGATGGGGCATAGCAGCCTCCTTAGTCAGTCTCTGTGGAAGACTTCCTGCCACTCAGGGACAGCTGCCATTTGTCCACTCTAAAGAATTTGCTTGTTTTCAGATGGGTGAGTCTCCTCATTCACAGCCTTTTATGTAGTGCTAAGTCATTTGCAGCCACCACCATGTTTCCCTGGCGTTAAAATAAAATAAAATGGGTCTGACCCACTTGCTTCGCTTAGGCTAGGGATTGAAAGCAAGCACTCAGCTCTGTTTTGTTTTCAAAGTGGAATTCCATATTGGGGCTGGAATTCAGTGAGAAAGCGTTTGCCTAGCACATGTGAGCCCCTTGGTTTTGATTCCCAGTGATGAGGGAGGAAAGTCAGGCAGAATCCCCTAAATATTGTTGCAAGGAGCCAGGTGTGGTGGCACACACCTATAACGCCAGCACTCAGGAAGCAGAGGCAGGAGGATCCAGAGCTCAGGGTCATCCTTAACACGAACAGGTAAAACCAGCTTGAGCTGAGACCTTGTCCCAGCAAACAAGAGGTGGTAGGGTGGGGTGTGACACGGGCTAGAAGGCTCTGTAGTGCACCTGAGGCCCTGAGCACCACAAAGTAAGTAGACAAGCAAACAGCGGAATAAGGAGAGGATGGAGGTTTGTGTCCGCGCGTCTGGCATCACGCTTGGAAGCAGGCAACACGGCAGGCAGTGCCGACTCTGCCGTGGTGTCTGCTAGGAAAGATGGCTGCACCTGGGAGACAGCCTGAGAGGAAGGGGAATGTTTTGCACTTTTGATACTATTAAGAACAAATAACTTATTTGGCAAATCATGTCTTTTTATGTTTACGGTTTTATTTTTCAGTTTGTTTTTGGGTTTGTTTTTGTATTGTGAACAGGCACTAAAGCTAATGTTATTTTGTTTTAAGAATATTACAGATTGGAAACAAATAAACTATTTTGATGTGTGATGGCTCTGGGGCACCTCTGGAATTGCAAGATGATTTCATCGAGGACGCTCTGCTGCCTCTCAGGCACAGCAGGCTTGGGGATGGCTTGGGAAGAAAACTAAGGGTGGAAGGCTCATCGGTTGAGAGTGCTTACATTGCAGAGAACTTGGGTTCAGTTCCCAGCACCTACTAGTGGCTCACAGCTGCCTGTAACTCCGGTTCCAAAGGATCCTACACCCTCTTCTGAACTTCTCAGGCTCCTGCACACATGTGGTACACATACACTCAGGCACACTCAAAGTTAAATAAATGTTTTAATGTTAAAACGGAAAGAAACACAGGCTGTTTGGGTTGACCTTCTGAATTGTCCTTATTTGTAGCCAGTGGTGATACGTCACAGAAAACGTCCTTTAGTCCGCGCGCTGCTCGCAAGTCCTTGAGGCTTTGTCGTGACACAGACTCAGACAGTTGTCACTTTGGGGAGAGCACACAGCATCTCGAACAGTAGGTTAGCTGCTAGGAGGGCCGTGTTGCCTAGGAAGGAGGAAGAAATGCTCTGGAGACTGCTTGCCGCACTGAAGCCCAGTCTCCCGGACCCTAGCCTGCTTCTGAGCCATGGCTTCTGGGCGCTGGGTGCCTGTGAACAGGCCTTCCCCCCGCCAATCATCATTTGGAGCCAGTATGAGAATTCTGAGGGATGTCTATACTGGGGCAGGTGCTGCTCATAGCCCACCCTCGGGCCAGTAGGTCTGACTGGAAGCTTGCTTTGTTTTTGTTTCAGTTAGAATTAGAGGGATGATGCCTGCTTTGCCCAGGTGTCAGCTGTATCAACTCTACTTCCTGTAAAACATGCTTTGCAAATTCACTTCTCAAGGAAATATCAGCCGGACGGTGGTGGCACACGCCTTTAATCCCAGCACTCGGGAGGCAGAGGCAGGCAGATCTCTTGTGAGTTTGAGGCCAGCCTGGTCTACAAGAGCTAGTTCCAGGACAGGCTCCAAAACCACAGAGAAACCCTGTCTCAAAAAAAAAAAAAAAAAATCAAGGAAATATCAAAGGGAGATGTGACCGAGCCACCCTGTCACTAAACAGCAGGCTGTTGGCTTCCTCTCCACTAACAACACCTGGTACCTCCCAGGGGTTTTGTTTGGTTCATTAGCTCACGCTCCTTACATTTGCCTCTGGACACTGATTCTCCATAGGGTCCCTGAGGTAAACCTGGAGACCTAACTCACCAGATGAATCTGACTTAGACCAACAGCTGCCTGTAGATCACGCTTGTCTCCGCACTCACCTGAGAGGTCATACGGTGGGGAGACTTCCACAAGATCGCAGCCCACCACGTTCAGGCCTTGACAGCCCCGGATGATCTCCAAGGCCTGTCCACGGTGGAAGTGACAGTCATTGCCAATGCAAAGCAACCAACGGTGGCATAGATAGACAACCCTCCCCTGCCTGAGACACATGCTCGCTACAGCCACGCTGGTGGACCTCCCGGGGCACAGCTCACAACACACACAGTCCCTCTCAAGGGCCTCCTGGTGTGATGGTGGTGGAGTAAAACAAGCCAGGCAATGTCATGTTTCCAAACCCTTGAGACAAGCAGCCTACAGGAGACAGTCTGAGTGGGGGAAGGCTTCCTGTGGTACAGACGCTTCAAGGGACTGGCAGAAGAGATGACTAAACATTCTGGTTCAAGAGACTGGCAGAAGAGATGACTAAGCATTCTGGGCAGAGACACAGGCTAAGGCACAGGCACAAGAAAGGCACAAGCAGATGGATATTGCCCAAGGTGGCATTAGGAACCGGTACAAAGGCAGTTCCCTTGTCTAAAGTTTCCATCCTGAGTGCGAAAAGCTCCAGAAATGCTTCTGACCAGACAGGGAATGGCTGTGGGCGATGCAGTTGTGAGCATCCTCCTTTCTTAGAAGATGCAGATGCGTGCAATTCACTTAAACCTTGAACAACCTGCCGTTCATACCCTTGGCTCCAAGAACGGGGTAACGAACGGAAAGGTCCTGTTCCCTCCCTTGTCGATCTCAGCATAGCTCATCAGGCTTGACTCCAATATGCCCCAGCCACCCGGAGCCGGTCTCTGTGTGCATACTTGATTAATTTAGCCATAAGCAGCTTGGCACGTTGTGTTTTGGCGCTTGGAATAACATATAGAGCTTTGTTCGCACTAAGCCTGTGTGCCGCTACCGAGCTACGCCACCAGCCCCAAAGTTCAGTGTTCTTGAGGGGACACTACAAAATGATCCCCATGAATTGACGGACTAGAGGCAGAAAGAATAATAAAGGCTTCTCAGAGCTCTCAGGATGGTCCCATAGCTTAGGGGTAGAGCACTTGCTTAGCATGGGTGAGGCCTGGGTTTAGTCCCTAGCTACAAAACAAGAAGTTAGAAAGTCACAGACAAGCAGTGCCTGTCCACTGAGTACCCAGAACTACAACCAGCCCTGAGAACATACTCGGGCCTGCCAACCTCATGATCTGTGAAATGAGGTTATGGTCCACAGATTTCACGCTCAAGAACCACACAGTCCAGTTTTGGTTTTTTAATCTCTTAATGTTTTAAGTAAATTTACAGTTTTGTGTTGGGCACTGTCCACAGCTATCCTCAGCCAAATTGGGCATGCAGGCCCTAGGCCATAGGTTGTATGCATCCAGGTGCTGTGTCTTTAAAATCCTGCCCTAGTGGTGTGAGCCCTTAGTTCAGCAGTCAGAAGTCAAGTTAGAGGCCTGCCTGGGCTATATAATTCAAGGCAAGACTGAACCCCGCAGCCTTGGGTGAGTTAGCCGGGGCAATGCTGGAGAGCTTACCCAGGTGGTGAGGATGCAGGAGAGCAGGCAGGCTGACCAACTCAGCTACCACCCAGGTCCCAATCCAGGGCGGTGAGTTGGCCCACCGCAACATCCACCCTATCTATGAACTGCAGGAGCATGTCAAGGGGCCAGTCCTGCAGATCTGAAGCTGCAGGACTTCTGCAATACAGGGCAGCGATGAGATCATCCAAGAGGAGTGGCAGAGACGGTCCAGTATTGACAGTGTAGCAGGAGCTGGAGGGCTCGACCCAGACCAGTGATTCATCGCAGTGAACATTTGCAAGTTAAGATGCGTGGGCTAAAGAATGTGCTGTGTGACTCACTGGGACACATTGCAGCTTCCATGAGATTTTTGGTGGCAGGAGGGGTTGTAAGGGCAGAGGGCAGATGTGATGACAGGGAGATGAGAGGAGTTGGGTTGGGGTACATGGTGTGAAACTGACAAAGAATCACTAAAAAGTTAAAAATAAAACACACCCTCTAGGGCTGGGAGGGTGGCTCAAGTGGTTAAGAGTGCTGTTGCCTTGCGGAGAATCCAAGTTTGGTACCCAACACCAACATTAGGTGGCTTACAACTACCTGTAAATCCAGCTGGAGGAGGATCTAATGTTCTTTCTTTCTGACCCCTGGGAATCTGCACACACGCACGCACGCACGCACGCACGCACGCGCGCGCACACACACAAAGGCATGGACAAGGGGGCAGGCATATACATAAAAAGAATACCCACCCTGGTAATCCACTGAGCAAACCCACTTACCTGACTAGGGGTGAGCCCAGCAATTTCCGGTGTCCCTGTTCCCGGGGCATAGGCAGGATCCAAGGCATCTATGCCAAAGCTGATATAAAGAGGCTTGTCTGCCATCTGTTGCCTGATCTCTGCCATCAGGGGAACCAATGACTTCATCCAGCAGTCTTCAGCCAGGACCACACGAAAGCCCTGAGGAGGGGCGAGCCAAAAAGCTGATATCCCAGCTGACCCCATGCTCAGCTTCTCACACACATATATCACATCTGACCTCAATTTCTAGGAGGGGAACCACGGTCCCCGCTCTACTGATGAAGTTAGGGAGCCAGGTCAGAGCTGACCTGAGTGTCAGGATCAGGAAAGAGCTTCGCTAAAACCAAGCCTGAGACACTTGGTCACTAAAGACTCTAGGGCAGTGGTTCTCAACCTTCCTGTGACCTTTAATACAGTTCCTCATGTTGTGGTGACCCTCAACCATAACTTTTTTCATTGCTACTTCATAACTGTGATTTTGCTACTATTATGAATTGTAATGTAAATATCTGATATGTGACCGCTGTGAAAAGGTTGTTTGAAAGGAGTCACGATCCACAGATTGAGAATCACTGTTCTAGATGCTTGTGTCCAGAACCTTGGTCTTGACACACCCTAAAATCAAGGGATTAGACAGTTGAAACAGCTCAGTTTGGGTAAAAGCCCTTGCTACCAAGTCTAATGACCTGAACTCAAACCCCAAGACCCACACAACAGAAGGGAACCCTCTCCACAATTTGTCCTCTGACCTCCACACTCCCGGCGTGGCACTCACACGCACACATACAATTAAATAAATGTAATTAAGAGTAATGTAAAATGTCTGGGCACGGTGACATATGCCTTTAATTCCAGCACTTGGGAGGCAGAGGCAGGCAGATCTCTGTGCATTCGAGGCCAACCTGGTCTACAAAGAAATCCTAGTGCTCAAAGGCAGAGGCAGGCGGATCTCTGTAAATTCAAAGGTAGCCTGGTCTACAGAGCGAGTTTCAAGACAACCAGGGCTACATCGTGAGATCCTGTCTCAAAAAAAGGGGGGGGGACTGGGGTGTTTGAGTGGGAGCCTTGCACTATGTTCAGATCAAAGCCTTCTGTCTGCAGGGTGTTAGAATAAACACTAAGAAGGGGTGTCTCATCTAGACTCAGGTTCACAACCCCATGTCTTCTAAGCCAGCAGCCTCCAGGGGTTTTAACTTCCTACTTCATTCTGCTGGGCAGCAACAGGCCACTTCTGCCTCATCAATGTCTCTCTGAGCCAGGCACAGTGGCTCACATCTGTAATTACAATAGCTCAGGAGGCTGAGGCAGTAGGATCACCGTGAGTTGCAAGCCAGCCTAAGCTACAGAATAAGACCCTGTATCAAAACAAAAGCAGAAATCAAGTCTCACGACTCTTGCCACGTGACTCGATGCCA